CTTCAACTCTAAATACCTCAGCCGTTTCTCAACCATTTATTCATTCAAAAAACTAATAATCTCTTCTTGTTCCTCTTCACCCCCACATTCTCCGTTTTTGCCGCTGGACCTCTCGTTCCGTTTAAATCACCGCTGGAGCGCTAGTAGGACTCAAACCCCAACTCTGAATAACTCATCCGTTTCTTGACCGTATTCTTCAAGAAAACCTTAAAAAATATTCTTTCTTGTCTTTCTTGACAGCCATCATCTCTGTTTTTGCCGACACACCTCTCCTTGTTGGTTATTCCTTGCTCAATCGCTAGTAGGACTCAAACTACCTCTGCAATTATCTCAGCCAGATCTCAACCGATTTCTTCTTCACATCAATCAAAAAATCTCTTTCTTGATTCTTTTCAGGGCTATGGTCTTGGTTTTTCTTGTTGAACCCCGGGTCTTTTTTAATTCATCACTCAACTTCGCCAAACTCCTGCATAACATGTCTGAAAGTCAAAGCCACATCAACCTGCTCCTTCTTTCGGCTGCAAAAGCTGAGGATACTTCTCACGTTAACCCCCTCCCCGGTATAACTCAAGACGAAGTCAGCCCCCTTCTTGAAACTGAGTCTACAGCAGCTCCGTCAACCACTCTGTCTGCCAGTCTTCATTCGCTAGCGCCGCCTCCCGAGTTATTGTATAGGACCCGGGCGCAACTAGATGACGCAGTTCAACAGTGGGTGTTGGAGCATGGCTATGCGCTCAAGAAGACAAACACTACAACTCAGAGGGGGAGGATTGGTTGACTTTTAAATGCGACCGTTCTGGTGAACTGGATGAACCAAACCCAGAGAAGTTGGGCAAGTACAAAAAGATCGGTGTCCCTTTGCAATGCTGGGCAACTTCTACAAGAGGACGGGACTCTACCGAATCACGATCAAGAATCCAAATCACAACCACCCCGCTTCGGAGGATCCATACATTCATCCAATTCACAGACGATTGACAGAATCCCAAAAAGAAAAGGTCACCGAATTAACTCATGCTGGTGTCGCCCCCTTGAAGATCAAGTCAGCTTTAGTTCAAGATGCAAATACCCCCTTGCATGCCACCCTCAACACCATTTACAATCACCGAGACCAGATGCGCATTGACCAGCTTCAAGGGCGCACTCCAATTGAGGCTCTGGTCCAACAAATCCGGCAGCATCAGTTTTACTTCATGATCGACAATGTTGAAGGGCACATGACGTCGTTCTTTTTCGCTCACCCACGTTCACTTGAATTGGTCAAACGCTACCCGACCACGATCCTCCTTGATTGCACTTACAAGACAAACAAGTTCAACATGCCCCTGCTTCATATCGTAGGTATGAATTCATGCAATCGGTCATTCTCAGTGGCTTTTTGTTTCCTCTCAGGTGAAAAGGAACCGAATTATATGTGGGCCCTGGAGCATCTCCATCTAGCGATGGATAAAGAATCCCCCTCAGTCATTGTCACCGACCATGAACAAGCGGTCATAAATGCGATCAAGAAAGTCTACCCAAATGCCAACCGTATCCTGTGCTCTTGGCACATTTGGAAGAACATCGAGAAGAATTGCCGGAAGCATTTCAAGGGCGATGATAGCGATGAGAAATGGTCTACGTTTGAATCGGCATGGAAGAAATTGGGAATGTCGCCAACATTGAATGAGTATGAGGAGAATTACACGCAGCTCTCCAAATTGTGGACTCCAGATACGGCGGCC